AAGATTGGACCAGCTTCCCTGCGCTAAGCACGCTGCTTCTTCTATAACTCGTTTTTTGTATATGCGTTGTGTCATTTAGCACCGCTAGTCGGAACCCGGGAGATAAAGCTATTCGCCCGCGCTACAGGCAAAAGAAGTGATGTCGCTAAAGCCGGCCTTTTTTGAACGTTATCAAATCACTGGCTCTTTGCTTTTTACTAGTTGGATGTAGCTACATTTTTTCGCATGTCTCTATTACATCTCTGGAGTTGTTTGATTGTTGTGCAAATCTGATAGGTATCTTTTGATTTAGGAAAGTAAAACTTGTGAGTGACCCAATCTTCTTTTTCTTCTTGGTAGTTTCAGAAGTTATGACTTTCGAATGGTGACTTATATAGATTCGTGGCCATTCTCTCGGCATGATGTAGGAATGTAGCATCTAGTGGCAGTCTCATTTCTACCTAACTGCGCGATATAGTCCAAAATGAATATCAAGGCTGAGGCAAGGACGATGGCCAGCAATTGCGTGCAATGAGCAGAGGAAAAATGGAGAAAGAGCTGTTGCGGTCTGTTCGAGCACAACTCTGTTTACGTGTTCGAGTATCACTTTCTCGCCACTCTGTCCGCGCAGCCTTATCACATGGGCGCGTGATCGGTGCTAGTTGATAGTCTTTTTCAGCCCGGAATAGGCGAAACACTTCGAGTGGAGCAGCGCGTCCGCACCGCCATTGGCTCAGCGAGTTAGATTAGAATGAAGAGATGCAGGCTGGAAGCGGAGCGAATATTGCGAAACGAGATCCCTCCGGCCCAATTTCTGCCTAAACCGAGTTAAAACTCACTATACAACCTGTAAAAATTGCGCTGGTGTTCGCTGGCAACATGTTTAGTGTAAGGCGCATATCTTTGATTTGGGCCAGGCTGCGCTACGCGGAGTACGTCGTGCAGTCTGACCCGACCCTCAGCGCACACTGCACTGGCAGTGAATTCTTGTCCAGCTTTTAGAGGTATCTTCTGTTTTACCCCTGTGTGAGCATAGGAAGCATATAAGATACGGCTGTTCCTGTTCAGAGCCTAAACCTTGCCTCATTCCTTACTTGCACAAGTTGAAGCCTGGATGTTGAATGTCATAAGCTTAGTGATAAGGGATTTGATAATCTGCAGCTACTTGCTATACAATAAAGTTTGACAGAAATATAGCTGCAAATTTCGCATGCTACCTCATAAACGACAATGCGTAAAAGTATCAAATTTTACAAATGGGCCTTTGCAGAGAGTTAGAGCTAAAAATGGCACTTAGGGGCTTTCGCAGAATTTGATCAGGTCACTAGCAATCTGCAAAACAAATAACCATCTCTGTGGCAAATGAGAGAAATTGTTGCAGCTAGTGTGGCTTGTTATTCACGAATACATGGCTACGACTTTCACATTGTGGTTGATGGAGAATACAGAGATGTCTGTAATCATAGCGACGTACGTAAGTTGCTTAACTGAACTCATTTGCGTGATGAAACTGTTAATCGTTTTCCATTTGTGGGATAATAGTTTGTTAAAAGTAATTCTTACTCTGTTGAAATAACACTCAGAAATTTTTTCGGCGACACTGCATAATCGCACGCACACTCAAGGATTACGACTATGTTTTATTTCTTGATTCCGATATAGGAGTAGTTAATCCGATGAGGTAATTGAACTTTCACTATTTTTGTAAATCACTCATCAAAAATGTGGTGTTCATCGATAGAAAAGGAAAGATCACTCTGTTATTCTTCGTGGCTTCTTGTTGAAGCAGCTTATTGTATTCGATGAATTCTAAATTAGCACACCTCATTTTGACAATGGTGTCTAACATCGCTTTCACGCAAGTTTGACGACGCACGCAACAGAATACAAATATGCAACAAAATCCTCTCTGCGGTGTTCAAATGTTACAATGGAGTCTAGGAACAAAATTGGGAAAGGACCTGACTTGGTGCACAAATTGACAATATGCAGTGCTTCTGAAGGCTCCTTTCAAAAAGTACTTGGATTCTGAAGATACGGCAGTCTATGGCAATATTTCTGTAGTACTCTTGACTGACTGAGTTTCTGTTGCACTTGAGCATTCAATCTTATTAATCTCAAAAGCTCTCAAATAATCTCATGTTTGAGGCTTGTTGACGGACTGCAAAGATCTACCCATCGGCGCTCTCACTTCCGCATCCGCGCGCAAGTACTTTATTTCATAGCTGGGCTCGGTTTTGCGGTATCTTAAGGAAGTGGTATTCTTCCAAGTGATGAGCAAGGATCGCTCAAGCTACTAATTGGTCAGAACATAGTACAAAGTTTCATGAAGGAATACTACACATTTTCTGCACAAGTTAAATCTGCCATGAAGGAATAGTGCACCCTTTCTGCCCCCCCCCCTTTAGCTGAGTTGACGATGGCTCTGTTGGCGCTGAATGGCATTTTGAGCTGGAAGTTTTTGAAAAAAACAGAAACTCACACGCATTCACCTTTACATGATGCACACAAGGAAAATTTTTTGCAGTATTTGTTATTTACACAATTTTTACCCCTTGTTTTAAAATTGGTGCGGCGTCAGAGTGCCGCCATAGGAGAGACAGTGCCAAACGAAATGTGACTTCTCGGTAATTGCGAACACTATCCGTCAAAGATTCGAAAAAATGGGATTTCATTTTCTAGTACGAGCATTCTAGCATGCCATAGATCCTCAATACAACTTTACGGAGAAAACTTTGAAAACAAGGGATGATTCCCTCCAGTAGCCAGCGGGGATATAAGTGCATATGAGCCTACGCGTGACATTTACAATGGCTTACGGAAGTCAGGGTTGAGCCAGAGTGCGCGGCACTACTAACGTACGCAGCGTACGCCCGGTATGTTTCATCATAGGAGCGTACGCGGCATACGCAGCGTGCGCAGCATACGCCGCGCAGTCTGGCCCAACCCTCAGCCAATAATCTTGTTGGTGGGGTAATCCCCCGGGGCACCCGGACGCCAATTTTCCTTGCCAGGTGGAAGAGTTGGTTGATCCATAGAGTAAGCAATCCTTTTATTCCACCGCCAGTGAAGCTCCCTTCAACGTCACTCGTTCCGCATCTATTTGTAATCGAGGGTGATCTAGCGTCCTGGTACCGATCAATGAGAAGCACAGGTTGAGTACAAGATAGTTTATCCAAGGCACAAAAATAACACTAACAAGAATCGCCTAATTTGGCCGTCATCAGGTCTCTATCTAGCGGGGGCCCGACTCTCTTTGACGGCTCGTCTGAACTTCCGAATCCTCGTTGTCCTTTGGCTGGTCTTCCTGTTTAGAGTATTTATACCCTGCCGAGAGGTCGGACTAGATTTGCACTGATCCGAAGTTTCGAACAGTTCCAGTACAGTTCTCGCACTGTGCTACATGCGCTGCAGCCGACGCATGCGATTTTGAGCGGTGCGAAGTAGCAATTTTTGATTTCCTTGAACGATTTTCATATGCATTTTCCTCATTTTCTCCTCATTCTTGTTTCTCGCTCATCTCGCTGAAGAAGTTTTAAGCTTAGAAAGGGGTACAAGAATGGGAGCTATCTCGTTTGTGCAATCAGGCTGAAAGCTGTTACAAACTGAACCGCTTTCATTCATGTGTATCTTTCCAAAACAGAGTTCTTTCATCAGAAATGGAACGTAAATCAAGAACGAAAGAGGAAGCAGTAAGAGTTGTGAAACAATAAGGCTGAAACGCTCAAAACCAATTCTTATCAAAACAGGAGAAAAATTCGCGATCTCCAAGATTGTGATGATAGTATCAGTCCTTCCTGAAGAGGGATCGCGGCGTCGAGGACGCAGACATTCGCAGTGAAATACAAAAAGAATTTTGTACAGAAAATTCACGAAGGAGAAGGGACGTGCGAAGGAAAGCACATCTCTGGCCTACGCTAAAAATGGAAGAGCTTCATTCTCGAACCTTGCTCCGATTTGGGATTTCATCCCTTGACAATAAGAGGTAAGGCGCAAGAATGAGACGAAATGGGCAGAATATGCTATCGAAACAGTACAGGAAAGTCAACTGTTGATTCGTGCCCCTCAAAACCGCACGCGGCAGAGTTCTAACAGTCGACCGCACAATGCGAGAACTGCGCTGACCTGCGCTGGTACTGTTCCGGAATTTGCGAGCCATTATGAACCCAGCCTCAAGTCAGCCTCTTTCCCGCCATCAAATTGGTACCTCGGTGATCCGAGCCATTCAACATACAAGGTTCCCCAAAAGTATGTATACATTTGATCGTTGACATCTCTCTTCCCAAGAAGTCTTCTGCCTGCTTTCAGGTACCAATTTGTAGAGCTGACTTAAACTTAGATCTAAGTATAGAAGGAACCAACGATTGCTCTTCATTACTGTAGGATTACGGTAAGAACTTTCGGCTTAGAGCGTTATTGTGGATTAGTCGTGTTTCAAAGGTTTTCAAAAATATTCTGAAAAGTGGTGCATGAAGACTTTTATGCGTGTTGATTTCATTACTCAACGTTTTGGAAGTCTGTAAAGCTTCTTGGTGTAATCACAGTCTCACGATGCATTGTAAAGACAGCTGTTGCGGTCTACCTGGCATAAGTCGTGAAGGAAGCACTGCGGTAAAATGCAAAGTTCATATTTGGTTTCAGCGACTTTAACTAACGTGGTGTAAGAGTTTCCAGTTTGTTTGGTTCGCTTTCTGAAGCGAAAAAGGGCTTCAATGCCTCAAATCCCTTCTTGAATTTCCTACCGTAATCTTCCAGTATTAAAGACCAGTCGGTAATCCGTTTCATACTGTAATTCTAAGTTGAACCTCGCTCTACAAAATAGTGCCTGAAGTTCACCGAAAGGCATCAGAGCAAGAGAGTTATTAATGATCAAACAGTGTATACATACTTTTGGGACACCCTGTATATCTATAGAGGTAAAAAGGTCTTTGTTGGCACAGAGATTTTTTAGGCGCATAGAGGACTTCATCGCACCTCACGCACATATAGTCTTTTACGATCGATTTTACAACTGGGAGATAATGTCTGGAAGTTACTTGGTGAAAAATACCGCGTGGTCGTTTAGCTTCCTACAAGGTAAGACGCTTCATAAGATTCTGTATGACGAATGATGCATGGTACTCTGTGACAAGTCTAAAACGTAAAAGGAGTTATTAAGGCTACGCAGATTACATTTCTCGCTTACCAAACGTGCAGCAACATGGGACTGACAATGGCGCTCTTCATGTAAACATCTCGGATATTAATCAAGTATTCTGCTCTGAGAATTTTTTGTAGGCATATTTAGCTGAGCTGATTGCAAAACCGAGCGACCCGAAGTTGCCAATTTGTTTCCGAATATACAACGAGTCTAGCGGTTTTGGAGATCTTTTTCTATTTGAGGCCTGTATAAGGGAAGTTTTGGGAAATAAAACAAGTTTCGGCAGCATCAAAATTTTGCCAAAGGTAAGGTATAATCAAAATCCAAGACATTAGTGCTGTAATTACTTTGAGAAGCGCTGCGAAAAATTGATTGGCAAGTGACTTTATAACGCTAAACACAAGTATTTTGTTCCCTTTCCTTAAGTATTTGCAGGGTACTGCCTGGGCACGTGATCCTAGGATGACAAATAGCAAGTGGAGCCCAGATCGAGACTTTATGATACACAACTGGAAAACAACTTCTCAGGGCAGCTATAAGAGGACTCCAATATCGTGAGTAAATAAATTCACTGCTTGAAAGCTAGTTTGAACAAAGAAAAGCTCTTTACGATTTATTTTGATGATGCAAATGATCTAAGCCACGTTTTCCACTTATGTCATGCTATAGAAAGAACTTCGAGCTCGGGCTTTAGTGCGATAAAGATTGGTAGGATGTTTGCGCAGTGATATTTTATGACTTGTAAGATTATCACAAATTCGATAATCTGGAGTAAGGGACCTTCACGAGGGTAGCAAAGGAGACTTAAAGAAATCGTTTCCTTCACTCTTTGATTCTGAAATATGCTATTCGTTAGCGGCAGCTACATAGGCCATCCATTCGAATCTGCTTTACTCCTCAAGGACGACCTTGTTGCTACTTTGGGTTTTAACAAAGAGAAGAGAAAGAGTTTTGGGACAAAAATATTACTATCTAGTAAACCAAACTTTGGGTGTAGAACAGATTTATGTAGGAATTTTGAGAAACCTATTAAACTGGCAAGGGAGACTTGCGAGGGGAAAGTGGCGACTACAAGACGCATATCATCGGGAAGAGCTAAAGTGCTCATTTCAAAACGCCTTCCGTTTTTGCAGAACGCTTCTGAGAAGAAAGTTGTAAACGTTTTTTGCGGTATTTTGCAGACGGAGAGCAGCCAAAATTATCAAAACCTAGACATTTTGGACTTAAACATACTTGGTACAGCTATCCATGCTTAATGTGATACACCCTTTTTGATTGTTATCCTGTGGCGAAAAAAGCAGTTGAATGATTTTCATTATTTGTAGCCACTCAAACTATGCAACTCAAAAACGCCCATATGAACAAGTGGAAAGTTAGAATTCATTGCCAAAAAGATACACAATTTTATGTCAATATTTGAAGCTGTTTTTTTTTTGTTGATACTCTCTGGTTTCGGGGCTAAGAACTATAACGGTAGTGCACTCCCTTGGTGCCCCTCATCAGTAGCTCCAAGGAGGCTTGGAAAATTTAGGGAGAGATAGTCTAGCAATTTGAGCGAAATGGAAGACAATAAAGTCTGAAGACAAGTTACCCTTTGCTTCCATCAGAATGGCTGCTGGAAGGCGGGGCTTCATGACCTAGGAGGCGACTACTCGCGTCCACGAGGCAGTCTGCGGCTCTTTCGCGAACATGCTCTATGATCATTTTCTAGCCTTAATTAGGTCCCGAGCCCGCTCGATTTGGTTGAAGCAAAGGTAAGTCAAACTGGCACACTGAAAGTAATATCGAACACAATTACGAGCGGCAACTGTCATCCCGCCGTCACCTTAGAGCGGGCTAGCGGCATACCGTATATGTCGATATGTCATCAGTTCGGTATATGAAAAGAAGAGTTAGCAGCAGCACTGCACGAAGAGACTCGTCAGAACAGTTACGAAAAAATGTGGCAAAGTCTTTTATTTCAAAAAATTTCCGTACTGAAAAGTAGATAAATGATTCGTTTCCAATGTAAAAAGCAAAAGTCTGACTTTGAATCTAGTGAATATGAGCGATAGGGATTAGAGAGTTTTGCCACCCTGATGTCACTCTGAAGGTGGTATAACTTCCACAGGAGAGGGTTGCGAAGCCGAAGTGGCCGATTACAACGAGATGCATGATATAGAGCTTGGAGCGGTAATTTTGGAATTGCCTTCCGTTCTGCAGGAGCTTTCGGCAAGGAAATTATCATTTGCACATAAACATTAGGTAAATGCATTACTTGCTACACCATTCCTGAGGGAAAGGAAAACTAAGAGTTAAAAAGGAGGAAATGACTGTAACCATACCTTACCTCGGCGACATTTTAGATAGACGCGAACTTCATAAGATATGCAACGGTGCAAGAACGGAGAAGATAGTTATAGAATAAATATCCAAGATGCAGATGCTATAACTGTACAGGCACTTGTTTACTACTGCAAGAAATGAAATACAATTTGAAAAACGCCTTGGGCAAGATCGTGTTTGTGCACGTCAACCATGTAGCAACCTTGTGAGGAGGTGTGCATCAGAGTGTTTCCGATATCCACTTTGATTTTTCTCCTTAGACGACTTTTAGCTTGATATTGCCATCCTCGTCTTGCGCGCTGATTTAAATCATCAGGGGAGGCGTGCAAGTGTTACCCAGGCAGCCGCCTGGTGCCGCGGACAGCCGCCAGAGCTGCACCAGCGTCGCGTCTGAGCTACCATAAGCGCGCTCTCGTTGTCCGCAACCTCTCGCGGAGAGATTTTCGCAGCAGCCTCGCACCTCATCGCACTGAGGTGCGAGAATTCCCTCAGAGATCGTGTTACTGCCGCATATCATTTATCGATCAAGAGAGCAGAAAATTTGTGGTTTACTAATAAGAGGAGGGCGTGCAGGAGTTCCTAGCACCTTTCCTCGCACCAACTTCGCACCAGCATTCGCACCCAGAAGGGTTCTAGCACCTTCGAACCTCAGAGGTCAGGCCCCCGCCTATCGCTCCATCCATTTACTGGAATCATTGTGAGGTGTGCAAGCAGCGAGAACATAGATTCAGGTATTGAGGTAATGAGAGAGAAATGGAGAGAAAAACGAAGAACATAGTTATCATTCGTCAACTGAGGCGGCTTAGAAACTTCTGCTATGCCATTCTCTTAAGAAAGAGCATTTGAACATTATTTTCAGAGAAGAGCGCAGAATTTCTATGAGAAAACCCGGTCATTCGAAACATTGGAGGACTAGTTGATCGATTTACATTTGGTCATCTGATTGAAGTAATAGCATCAGGAGTTTGAGAACCTAAGCCTTCTACATTAGAAGGACCTATTCTGAAAGAAATATATCAAAGTTTCCAAATAAGCAACTGAACGCTTTCTCCAACAGTTGGGATATCTAAACACATGTACTTTTCCACTTTCGTTTACCATCATTTCGAAAGAGTTGTTCATTCCAGTTACTCTGATGATCAATAAGATCCAAATTCAAAGAGATTTTCAAGTGTAGTTTTTCCTGCAATCGATGTACTAGAATATCAATCTTCATCGCATAATGAGCTGGCTGACAGTTCTCTTAGATGAATTTTAGAAATTGAGTGAGATTGATTAGCTTCTCTGTTATATACTGTGATTGGAAGATAACTTCTGCTCGATTTATATTACTAATACAATATGCTTCACAAACTTACTCAAGCGCGAAAACTTACAGTTTTTCAAGACAGCGTCATTTTATCCAAAAAATGAGTAAAACATAACTCGAAATGCTGAAGTTCACCTGCAGTCATTTACGAATTTTAAAACCTTACAGAAACCTATAAGTTTCCTTTTTGTTTCTCGATTTCAGTTCTATTATATTATCCTCAAAATACAGGGCACGTCTTACACTGTGTGTACACATTTCAAATGAGGGCACCTAAACGGAGGAGTGATGGGCGGAGCCGCCCCTTGGCCCCGAGAAGGTGTGATGTCCTTCAAGGGATTTTGGAGGTGCCAAGTACCCCTGAGAGGGAAAGCGGCCAAGCTTTGGGAACTCCTGCCACGCCGCCCTAATAAGATACAATACAAAAAAATATACAAAAACAAAAAATAAGTTGAAAAAATAAATTGACGGAATAACTAAATTAAAATATAAGCATGATATTATGGACTACGTTCATGAAATTATAGAATGGATCATTGCTTAGTTTTTTGGCACAATTTGTTGTGACCGTTGAGAAGAAGAATCCTAACATTAAGTAATCAAATATTAGAAAAACTGTGCCACATATGGAAGTGTAAAAGATGAAATGATGTAACCCCTTGCTCATTTACTTCGAGCTCTCCACGATATTGAATTTCAGCAGCTGAAGAGTGGAGCTGGTTTGTAGCAGGTAGTGGATTTTGGGATTGAGAAATTTTCGGGATTCGGCAACAAGCGTAATTTAAGCAAGATGCTCAGACTAAAGAGGGTGTGTGACGTTTCGCACGACCGTAATGCTTTCCACACAAGACCAGCGCCACGCGCGACACACCCTGCGGCGGCTTTTGCCTAAGCAAAACACGGGGAGGAAAGATTTGCGGCGTGCATTACATGTTAAAACAAGTCAAAATCAGGGAGACGCTGGAGACCGCCCGTGCGAAAAGACCGTCTTCCGACTAAAGACTGTATAGCTGAGAGTTAGACATTTAAAATCTTAGCTGCTCTACATCATTTCATCTATTATACTTCCATATGTGGCACAATTTTTCTAATATTTGACTTACTCGATGTTAGAATTCTTCTTCTCCAAAGGTCACTACGAATTGTGCCAATAAACTAAGCAATGATCTATTCTGTATTTTTTATGAACCTATTTAGTAGTATTATGCTTATAATTTGATTTTATAATTATTCCGACTTATTTTTAACTTATTTTTTGTTTTTGTATATTTTTTGTATTGTATCCTATTAATAAACTACAAATTTTCTGCTGTCTTGATCGATATATGATATGTGGCAGTAGTACGACCTCTGAGGGAATTCTCCCACCTCAGTGCGATGAAGTGCTAGGCTGCTGCGAAAATCTCTCTGCGGAAGGTTGCGGACGACGAGAGCGCGTTTACGGTAGCTCAGCCGCAACGCTGGTGCCAGCTCTGGCGGCTGGCCGCGGCACCGGGCGGCTGCATGGGTAACACTTGCTATGCACCCAGTCAGCAGTCAGCAGCTATCTGCCAAAGCTGCTTTTCTGCTTAAAGGCAGTAGATATCGGCAGAATGGACCCTTCTAGAATTTTGGTGAATTTAGGTAGTAGAGCCCCCCCCCCCCCCCAAGTACACTGTAATCCAAACCCCATCTGCCATTTCATGCGCTAAGTCCTGAAAAATGCACTAAAACCCACCAGCCCCGCCCACTTCCACTGAGTGGGCGGAGCTAGTGGAGTTTGAAGCGCATTTTTCAGGACTTAGCGCAAAATGGCAGATGGGGTTTGGATTACAGTGTACTTGGGGGAGGGGGGGGGGGGGCTCTACTATCTAAATCCATCAAAATTCTAGAAGGGTCCATTTTGCCGATCTATTGCCTTCAAGCATTTTCTGGAAATATTTTGATACTCGAATTTTATGTACAGAAAGTGGATTGGGATTCTCAGCTGATTTGTTGTCAAGCGTCAGCTCATATGGTTTATTTTGCCACCGAAATATTTGAATCTAAATCTCAGCAAAGACCAAGTTCTTCTAAAGAAGACTCATAATGTTCTCGCGATGCGAAAGTAAGAATCTAGGCTACTCACGTACTTAACCCAAGTACCCAAAATTCTTGCTGCTTTGGAACACCTCCATGGCCAGAAACTCGACACTTTTCGAAAGATCCTTGCTCTTTTGGTCCATAAGCCCTACCTCTGTTTTGGAAGAGAAAGAAAACATTTATCTATGCTCTCATCTTGAGCGCTACTTCTGCGTTTTTGCTACTGTTCTCAATATTGAGCAAAAATCTAGCAAATGCATTAACGAATATGATATGTCTCTACTGCACGATTAACGAGTGCGAAGGTTGTAAGCTTTCTTGGGGCGAAGATTCGCATTTTGGCGTATTCAAGGTTTGACTGTGTCCATCCACTAGTGGATCGATGATCTAGATAGATTTGTGGTGGTCATTCTGTAATCTGCTTCTCTTATCGAATGTTGTTCGAAGCATATTATTTCCATATTTGCCTTGACAGCGCAAGGTACGGACATTATTGCATTATCCAAATAATTCTCAAGATGTGAAGGTGCAGCAAATGCAGAATTTGTACACCTAAATCGGGTGCGGGAACTTACCTACCCGAAAGACTTGCCGCAGCGTACCTTAGGTACTATGAGTAGTCCGATACGCAATTACCATAGTGTACAGAGCCTAGTCTGTATGTATTGTAAGCCCCGCTCTATTCATCGACACTTTCGCGATGCGTCCATCACTCATGAAACCGGGAATTCAATAGATTCACAAAATTGATGTTCAGCAACAATATCTGCTCAAACTCGACGAAAATTGAGACTTAGGGGTTTCTGAGGCGCTCTCTTCAAATATGCTATTGGTTGTTTTGCGCTGCCTTTTCTTACAGGAGCCGAAACTTTGCTTTGGTGAAGTGACTTTAGCTTAAGAAATCTCGACAAAATATAAAGCAGTAGCTTTAGGACGCATGTAAAGTTGCTATTTCACTTTTTCTCTCGGAACATTGTTCTGAGAGAAAAAGTGAAACAGCACTTTCTAGTGAGAACAGCATGCCCTGAGGATGTGACCTTAACGATAAAAGACTATGAAGGTGAGCTAGTCTGTCAAACGATCAATGTGTACAGAACGCTGCACATGTTTTTGTGATTGAAATATTTTATATATTTAATTGATATATATGTATAAATGTCTTGTTTCCATGCCAGAAAGGTGCTATGTGTGGGCGGGGCTTAGCTTAGCGCTGTATCCTAAGGAGCATCTGGAATCAGCGAGCTCGCTATGCCTAAATATACCCCACAGATGCACCCATGAGGTGCGAGAATATCTCGGGTAGGTAAGTTCCGTTCCCCCCATAAATCGGATAGCTTAGTCATTTATTATGCTCTACATATTTGTTTTTTTTTGAAGGCTCAAAGCAGATCCTGCTGACGACTGGTATAATTGGTACAACCCCATTGTAGGACACTTCGATCTGGAACTGTGCAAGCCGAAGTAAGTAATTCTACTTTAAAGAAACATTTGAAAACTGCAAAAATTTTATCTCTATCAATGACAAAAAATGAAACCATTTACTTCTTTCATTTCTTGTGCTTGATATGCTCATAAATTCAATAGCTAACTTAGTATCAATATTGAATCCCATTTCAGCAATGCGACATGGAACTACGACAAGAATCTGATCGAATCGTATCAAGCCATTGAAGCACGTCTTCAAGAATATGCACGAGAAGTAGATACAATGAAACAATTCTTCTTAAATTACCTGGACGACTTGACTGATTATTGGTGCAAACGAGCAAGAAATGAGAATACGTATGCAATGCCTTCCTCCCTCAATAAGTCCTGGTATGCATACGCGATCTAATGCATATGTGCGATTATCGCTGTTTATTGTAAAAAGTGTAAAATTTTACTTAACCCTTCCGCAATCAGAACGGGTTTAGTTCGTTATGCTAAATGTATTACTTTGTGACTGTCAAGTTGTAAATAGTTTTTTACGGTGTGCCTTCGTAATTGCTTAGCAACGGCTATTAGGTGTGTAGTAAGTTCGTGAGCATATAACTGAACAGTTTTTCATATTTTCTGTGGTATTCACGTGCCTCTGGAAGCTCTTATCTTCTGTTCTATCAAGTTTTGTCATTTTCCTAAATCAAAGATGTTAACTTCTTTTACAAAAACAAATCATCGGGTTTTTATTTGGATAAAGCACATTGATTTTTTTTGCAGTTGTGAAAGTTTTCTTTCTGTTCGACGATATTCTTCGATGGAATTAGGCAGATTTTTGAACGCCATTAGAGTCTGTGTTGCTGTACACAAAGTCCTTGGGCATGTGACTCACCACTCAAAAGGACTTTCCAAGCTCTTTCTAATGATAGTTGTATGCGCAAAAATTCCCCATTATTCTGCGTAAATAATGCAAAATTATGTAGATTTTTGTCATCAATCGTCATAGAAGTAAGTGATTGACGCAGATTGTAGGCTAAAAAACATGTTTTTCCCATTTTTAGAAATGAAAAAACCAACGTAATTGTGGGTGAGGTAGTCTCAAAGATTCTGCCCATAGGAAAGGGGAAAACTAAAGGTGTAGGATGTCGAAAATGGATTTTCGGATCATTGCATTCCTTTAAAGAGAGTTCCGCAAGAACAAATTGCAGAAAATCAGCATCCAAAACTTTAGAAGATGTGCACCTCAACTCAAATGGCCACGACCACTTAAAGTACCACCATTAGATTTTCAGCATGGTGCGAATTACTATTATTTCCAGTACACTATCGCAATAGGAGGCTGGAGCTTAGAGCGACACTGTGAGCTGAATCGTCCAAAAAAGATTGCAAAAAATTCTGAAACTGTGTAATAGGATTTTCGCGCAATCTGACTTCATTGGTAAACTTTTTAGAAGTTTTACAAGTTTATGCTGTGAGTTTTGAGAAGCTCGAGAAACCAGCTTTCGTAGTATACGTGGCCTAACTTATAAACGAAGCGTTGCGATAAAGCTCCGTTTCCTTCAATATGAGAGACCCTAATTTACCTAACGTAAAAATTTTCAGCTTATTGATTATCTTCTGATTCAAATTATGGCACTCAATGGCTCAAAATCTTCTAAAGTTCTTCAAAGTTCCTAGCGTAATAATACTGTAATGGGGAACGATCGCTGACTTGCTCCATACTATAACTAATAGTAAGTTGAAGCCGAACTCTATGTAATGTGACCTGGAGATAAGTAACAGAATTCTTGGGAATAATTAACAATTAAGCAGTGTATACATTTACTTTTGGGACACCCTGTCATTTTAATAAATGTTGTGCAAGTACTGAAGAAAAAACTAACAGAAAATGCCGAGCTTATTGCTGAATGTTTCACAACTTTTAAAAATGGGACCCAAATTCAGTGTTGGTTTTCTAATTCTGAAGAAGATCATTAGTTCAAGAATTTCGACTGCAACTTTTCTCTGGCATTGAGAACAACTTACTCAGTTATTTATATGGACGCAGAGCACAAAGGTTCCGCAAACGTCACTTTTGGTGTTTTTCAGTCTGTTCATAGAAAAGCTAGCTTTCCCAAAATTTTTGTAAAATTTCTTCAGCCGTCGCACTGTGGCAGGCCTTAATTCGGCAGAGATATGCTAAAAAATCGTTAGAGAAGTCATTTCAAGAAGAAAAGAGCTAGCCAGCGGTCCTCGAGGTTTTCAAACCAAAGTGAAAATTATGAGATCTTGGCGTTATTTTTGATACGAAAGACTTGGCGGCAAGAAATTACTTTCAAAATTTACTCGTGAAGTACAGAGCTTTGTCGATTTCAGGGTACAAAACCACGGATTCATACCTATCATTCATCTTATGGACCGCATTGCACGCATTGTTCAAACAGGCCTGTACTTAACAGGTTTATACTTGTTACTTATCTCGTCCAGGTTCATTCACTTTCTGGAGACAGGGAAGAACAAACTCAAACCTGTTAAGACAATGTCCGCAACGCGGTCTCGCGCCTCATAGTCATAGAATGGGTAATAAGTTTTGAAAAAATAATGGATTTTATTTGAAATGCGCTGAACTTTTCATTCAACCAAATACTTGAAGCTTACATAACTGCGTTGAACTTATTGATAAATATGATACAGTTTGACTGAGCGAGATCGTAGCACAAAGAATTGTGAAATGATTTTCTGGCCCCCAGAACACCGAACAAGCAAGCAGTCAGCCGTTCCATCATTTTGTCGTGTTTGTGTTTCCTACGTCTGCCGAGAACTAGTTTTCTGAAAAAATGGGTTTTCTTGCTAAGCGCTAAGGGCATTCTATGTAATTGTTTACTATTGTGTAATCTGTCATATTCCGATTATAGCATATCAATGCATTGCCAGTACAAAGAGATTAGTCCACTTTGGTTTTGATAAAAATCGATAGAAATAGTGCAGAAAGGAAGATACCGACATTGATGTTTGTTTGCGGTGCATGATAAGTCTGTGCACACATCACTTTCTATGAGTAACGTTGGAATGTTTGGCAAAAGACGAGAATCAATGAGGGGAGGGGGGGGGGAACATACTTTTTCCTGTGCACTCGTGGTGTCTGTAACTTCTACAGCTTTTACAAAAGCAGCTTCCAGTTCCTATACATGCCTCTTCAAAGCGAAAACCGTCAGATTTCGATTTATAAAAATAAAACCTGGCGATTGCGCTCTTTGTGATTGAGAACTGGTTCAGTGCTGGTTAAAACTTCCTCACCTGGGAACATCGTTCATAAATAATTCACTTTTTACCTAATGCACATATGCAGCTGTGTTTCGAGAACGAATTTTTTACCGCGCTCAAACAAAACTTTCAATCTCTTTGAAGAGTTTTTTTCTGTAGCGGAACAGGTTGAATTACTGTAAATGCTATCTATTCCAGAATAGCGAACTGAAGTGTACATAACTTACTAGCGAATTTTCTAAAACGAACAAATTAATTTCAAAACTTTATTACCGGAGATTACACCACTACCTCTTTTGAATTTTTAGGCACTCTAAGCGCGTTCGAGGACATATGCCATTTTTTGAATCATAACTCGATTTTTCGATATACGGTGTCTCAGTCCGCATACCTGCATGTCTTTCCAATGGACGCCCTCAAAAATCAGTCTATTTTTACCTGCAAATTCAGACTTCGAAATCTTCTTCAAAGGGACGTGGCACATCTATGCTGACTTTAAAATGTTTTTATCATCACTAAACGTAGTACTTGCGCAAAAGCCTTCGAAAATTTTTCATCTCTTCCCTTTCTTCTGCTCACTCACTATAAACTTTGTATACCACATACTAAGAGTATGACTCGAAAGACTTACTTTCCATTCTGAAAATCACACTTGATGGCTAATTCTGTCCTATCTGTCTACGTACTACCAACGAGATAAAATTTTCGATGGTATATTGCTTGATTCATAAATATCGAAGTCACAGTTATTAAGCCATTATTTCTCTATAGACTTCTCACATGTTATAGCAGATGAATCATGCTCTTTTATTTGCCTTTCGAAGAGCCTTGCAAAAATGAAAATCGAAAATTATCCTGTCAAGCGCTCATATCGAAGACTGCTACAAAAAGTCGAACCAGATCTCACTCAGGTTGATCAAACCACTCGTTTTCTTCCCCATACTACAGATATTGTAAACATTGCTGGCTAGTAAATGAGAAGCATCGACTCTCAGTGTTGTGGGAAACTTTTATATTTATGATGTGAGGCCCAAGCCAACTTGTTTTCTTACTTGTTATAGGATCTGTGAGTGAATTACTCTAACTCTCATTGGTTTTTAGTTTTTACAGTTAATACGTATTTTGATTGAGATTCTGTTGTGGAGGAATGAATGCAGCGAGCAAAAAAGCCGCTATGCAGTATAATGCTATCAGATTGGCCCGAAAGCTCTGTCGCACCCATTTTCAGAAATTCATAACTTCTCGCTTTTTTGAGGGATTCACATAGGTTAAATTTTGTTTGAAAGAGGAAATCATTCTTTCTATAATGTTTCTGAAAAGGCCCTCTATCAAGCATACATCGCGGAGATAGATATGACCTGTTCTTTCTACTGAGGAAAGTTGTGTTAATTGAGCTTTTCTATTAAAAGTTAAAGATTGCCGTCTTCTATAAATTACAACCTATCGTGAGAAGCTCAATCAACACGAATTTCGCTCAGAGAGAAAGAGCAGATCATAGAACCTTAAATAGCAAATGCTCCGACTTTTTGTGCAAGTTGCGAATTTTTGGAGGATCTACACGGAAAATTCAAATCTTGAGTAACTTTATCTTATTTGTTTAAGGGTCGTTTTAATTCTGTTGGAGAAAATGATTTCCTTCCCAACAAAGTTATACTTAGGCGAAACCTTCAGGAAAGCAAGACGTTAATTTTCAAAAATCTTGCGACATACCTTTTGGGCCAACCTAAATCACTTTGGTAGCACCCGTAATTCGCGTAAATTGCATAGGTAGTGCAGCACTTCAAAAAATCTTCCCCCACT